GGAAAGGTTGTGCTACAGCGCACTGAACAGGCTGCGTGAGACTTGGACTCTCCATTTGCTGTTGGTGACTTGCTAACTCTTGCACTTGAGTTATAAAACGTCATACTCCTGTGGATGCTGTTACAGAATAGAGGTGAACTCTCGCCTCATGTTCTACCCGTAGTGACTTACTCTTGGTATGAAACCTGAACTCTGACAACCAGGAGTATTTGCAAATACAGCACTCTTTATTTGATGAAGCAGCAAGTTTTCTAGGAAAGACAACCCACCCTTTTTCACAGTGACTTCTTGGGCTGTATGGTGTTGGCTTACAGGAGAGAGGTTTGCTTATTGAGTGAGCGCTGAAATGCCGGAGCAAAATGAGGGTCTGGTTGCAAAACTTGAGCATGAGAACTTTATATTTGATGGTTTGGATGTTGAGAAGGCTGTTAGCTTTTCCCAACCCGTTTCAGAATGGTAGGCTTATAAAATCACAAAATGGTTTGGGTTGGAAGAGACCTTAGAGATCATCCAGTTCCACCTCGCTGCCCCAGGCAGGGCCACCTTCCCCCAGCCCAGGTTGCCCAAAGCCCCGTCCAACCTGGCCTTGAACCCTGCCAGGGAGGGGGCAGCCACAGCTTCTCTGGGCAGCCTGTGCCAGGGCCTCACCCCCCTCACAGGGAACAATTTCTTCTTTAGATCTGATCTAAATGTACCCTCTTTTCATTTAAAACTTGTGCCCCTGCATTCCCTGAGCTCCTTTTTGTGCAGTGTCTGCTCTCTTAGGAGGGATCTGAGCACACGTGGCAGGTGTGAGCTGTGGATGCGTCAGAGAGCGCAGAGCAGGTCTGTCAAAATACTCTGGGTCTCAGCCCTTCAGTCTTTATTCAAATAATCGGTATTTTGCATCCTTAATGAAATTATTGAAACGGCTGAAGAAGTGAGATCCAGTGATTCTTTTATTTACTGTTAATCTGAAGAGGGTTTCGGATGAATTAGGCGCAGTGTGAGATGAGTTAGTAAAACTGGTAATTTAAAATGCCGGCAGACGAACGCTCGTCTCGAAGTTAAGGCTCTCAGAAGACAATGGCCTGTGCTTCTGCAGCATCTGAAGTAAAACCGCCTCAGCGGTCTAAAGGATAAAAATAAGTCCAAGCCCTGTCTGTGTAAGAGAGTTTTTCCAGTCATGCTGGTGTACCTCATCATTTTTTCTGGTGTGGCCATTTTATTTTTGGCTCAGTTTAAAGCACCCATGAAGCAACTTTAAACTAGGTGGTGGTGGTAGAGGACAGTTTCTACAGTGGGATAACCCTAATGGTTTTGTATTGATCAAGTTACATCTCTTTACATTCATACCACATATTACGCTGAGCAGATGAGACCTTCGTTTTAATCCACGTGGGTTTAAATTTAATGTAGATTTGTGGGTTTTATGTTCAGTTTCTGTTGTTTTCTTCTGGTTTGAATGGTACGGCTTCTGCTATTTTAGTTTGCTTTGCTCCTCCTGCATCTGGTATTCTTCCAGAGCTGGTGTCAACAACCATTGATCATAGTTGACAGTGCATCAAAGGAACCTCTGACACAGTCATAAAGCAACTGCACTGTGTGATGAGAGGGACTTTATCCTCATTTTTTTGTTTAAGCACTTTTAAATGCCTTTAAAAATACTTCTGGCTGTCATCCAAGGCTTCTGGACTAAGCTACAACTACCAGGAAATGTCTTTGCAGGCATCATCATATCATTAGGGTTTCCTTACACCCAAAACTCTTCTGGTTTCTGAAGGAAAACGGGAATAAACTTCCCTTTTCTGGAAGGATGAATACTCATCTCCAAAATTAATCAAAACAAACTTTCCTTTCATTTCCTGTGCCTGAATCCCTGTTCAAATCCAAGTGCAGACCCTTTGGATGCATAACAGAGATGCTTTGCTGTTGGGGCAGCAACAGTATCAACAGGTTGGTAATCACCAGCAGAAACTGCCAGTCAGGGTGTTTGCCCACAAAGTCTGACTTGTATCAAGGATCCTTTGGGAATAATTTGAATATGTGAATAACTACCAAAGGTTTCAGCACCCAAAGATAAGGCTCAGTGCCCATCAGTGTATGATTCTGGAGACAATTGGAAATTTTCTGAAAGGAAAATGTAGAGGTGTGAAAGTAGAAAGCGGAAAAAGTAGAAAATCTGCACTGAATGAAGCCAGCTGTTGGGTTAAACTAGAATTAATCTGAGTTACAGCTTGGAAATTAATTACTAGAGCTGGTGGTGGTGGTGTCTGCACAGTTGGGCAGGCTGCACTCTTTACCGAAGAGCTCTAGTAGTTTATTGCCTTTTTTTCCAGCTTATACCTGCTTTTCTACAGGCAGGAAAGATAAAGAGTGAGGAAATCTAATAGTGCCACAGAGGAAGCAAGTGACCTTCATACTTTACAGCATGTACCTCGGACTCTTGGGAGGGAGGCAGTGGAGAGAGGAAAGAGTTTGAGTGGTAGTTTGATGGTTATTAGACCTTGTTTGAATCAAGTGGGCTTCATCTTTAAATAAACGTGATGATCTTGTTCTTGATTATCCCAGTCATTGCTTGTAGCTAACTGTTCCCAAAATGCCACAATTCAGCCAGGCTCTGTGTGCTGAAGCAGGACATGCGCGTGTAAAAACTGGATCAAATGCACATGTGTTTAAGTTTGCGATGTCGCTTACCCAGCCATCTGCTTGCTGATTCAGAAATGCATAGTTTCACTCTACTACTAATTTTATATATAAAGAATGTTTCTGGTGGCATCAGGTGTAGACTGCCTCGTGATTCAAGCAGGTTTCCTCCCAAAGAAAAGATGTTTCGGAAGCATCCGTTGTCTTGCAGTGTCTCCTGATGAGCTAAAAGGTTACTACGCTTAGTTATGTTCTGCTCATATTTTCCTGTGGATAAATAGATTTTTTGTTTTAATGGAAGGTACTTAAAATTGTGTTGCTCCATTGAGAAAAACAGCAATACCCTTTCAGAAGAAGCATGGTAGCTTGGGAAAGACCTGGGCTGCTGAGTGTTTTGGCTATTGGTGTTTTTTTTTTATATATTCCTTGACCATTTTTCTATGGTGATTGCAAAATAAATTCCTTGGAAGGAGTTTACAGCTGATTTTTTTTTTTTTTTTCAACCAGAAGTTTTTCAGTTTGCTTCAATGTACCTCAGCATCTCGGTCCCTTCCTTACTGGTGGTATTTGAATTGCTGCTATTTTTGAATGGTTCTAATATTACAGTCTGAGTTGTAAACAGCGTTGGGCAACAGCAGCCTCTAACTCTAGCAGCCTTTTAGGGAGGTTTGTGAGTTAGAAGGTGTTTTGGCTTTAGCCATAACCTCAGTAGTTTCATAAGTCTCACAATAGCACTTCTGCTGTCCCGCATGGTTGAGTTCCTCTTGCCCACGCCTGGATAGAAAACAGAAGTTTGAAAACATTTGCTTGTTGTCCAGATTGAATTTAGTTTCCTTTCCATACTATTTAGGAACTTCTAGGGGGATCCCTTAGTGTTTCATGAACAAAAAAAATATCTCAATTTCTTGGGGCAGTGTTAGTGGGAGTGTAAATATAGATGTGCCTCTTCCCCAGCCTTCCCAGTGCCAAGGGTGATTCTGGTGCTATGGTCATCTCAGTACCTGGGCAGCTTCCAGTACTGGACCTATATCCTGATATTTGTTTCTTTTAGCTGCTAGACCATGCTTCCTTCCATCATACCAGCCAGCTGCATAATTAAATATGTGACCAAGTCCTTCCTTCCATCTCAGTTGGGTGTACAGGTCCTTGCTTATAACCAGACTGACTGCCAAGCTGGGACACGCAAACCAGTATCAAACCAGTATCGCTCTAACATTTAGAAAATATCTGTGCGTGAGAGCGCTGTTATCTCATGGATGAAGAGCCACTGTCTAAAGACACACAGTTCCCTTCTGCTTCTATCCCCCATGCAGACGTCAGTTAATGGAGGTGGCTTTGATGCTCCACAATGAAGCTGGTGGTAGCTGTGGAAATTCTAGTCTGTTAGTAGAGGCTGTTCATTTTATGTGAGTCTTGTTAGAAGTGTGTACAGCGTGGAGAGAAATAGGCCATAGACAGACATGGAAAATAAATGGATTCTCTAATCTGGACTCTTTTTTTTTGTGTTTTAGCTGCAAACCCACAATGCCTGTGTTCGAAGGCAGGTTGCTGTGGCCTCCCTCTCTGGTCAGTGGAGGGAGGCTGGTATTTCCTCAGGAGCTCGGCCTCTAAGGTCTGAATTCTTGGTTAACTGGACAGAGTTGAGCTGGGCCAAATGCTTTGGAAATTGGTTTTGGCTTTTTGGAAAGTTCAGTAACACTTTAGAAAGATGTACCTGGATTTCTTTGTATTAGTAAATCATAGAATTACAGAATGGTTTGGGTTGGAAGGGATCTTAAAGACCATCTAGTTCCAACCCCCCTGCCCTGGGCAGGGCCACCTTCCACTAGCCTAGGTTGCCCAAAGCCCCGTCCAACCTGGCCTTGAACCCTGCCAGGGAGGGGGCAGCCACAGCTTCTCTGGGCAGCCTGTGCCAGGGCCTCACCCCCCTCACAGGGAACAATTTCTTCCTTAATCTCATCTACATCCACCTTCTTTCAATTTAAAACCATTCCCCCTCGTCCGATCCCTCCCCCTGATGACGAGTCCCTCCCCCCGTTCCCGCAGCCCCTTTCAGCCCTGGGGGGCCGCTCTAAGGTCTCCCCAGAGCCTTCTCTTCTCCAGCTGAACCCCCCAACTCTCCCAGCCTGTCCTCACAGGGGGGCTCCAGCCCCCCCAGCATCTCCGTGGCTCCTCTGACCCCGCTGGAGCAGGTCCGTGTCCTTCTGCTGTTGGTGCCCCCAAGCTGGACCCAGTCCTGCAGGGGGGTCTCCCAGAGCGGAGCAGAGGGGGAGAATCCCACCCTGCTCTGGGTGCAGCCCAGCACATGGGGCCTTTCTGGGCTACAAGTACATGTTGTTGGCTCACAGTCAGTTTTCCATCTGCTAATGCTTCCAAGTCCTTCTCCTGGGGGCTTCTCTCCATCCCCTCCTCACCCAGCCTGGATTTCTGTTTGGGAAACCACGCCAAAGTCGCTAGGTCAGATTTGGCTTCTCAAGGAAGACCAAGGTTACTGTGGTGGCTGCAGTAGGAATGAAATAATTTTGCAACATGAAGTTAGTTCATCCTAAACCCTAAGCGGTTGGGAAACCACCATCTGTTGAGCAAGAGGGTGGCTGTCTGGCTGCCCACAGCCATTTCAGGGATAACACGATGTTTACAAACATCTCGTCTGGCTGGGCAAGTCCAGATGAGGTGATGGACTGCAACCACCCTCTGTGTGGCTCAAGTAGGGCAAGACCAGCATGGTTTGGTGGTTATAACGTCTGCACAGTAATGAGTGTTTTGACTTTGTGTTCAGTGGACTTCTTTGGCTCATTTTAAGTCTCCTTTCAATATCTTGGTCCTGTTGCTACACCAGAAACTTCATCTCATCCCCTGTTTAACAATGTACATGCCTCTGGCATTTGAATGGGAAGCTTTCTCTTACTGCTATCCGGGGAATATTTTCCTTGCGTTTGAGATGCAGCTTTTGTTTCCCGTAAAAAACCAAATGTGCTTAAGTAAAATGGGGGAAATGGGTCCTGTTTTGAGGACAGGACTCTCTAAAATCATTGCATCCCTATTTTTGCTGTCTTCAAGTTGGAACTGCCTTTGGAAGAGCTGTTTTATAAATGTCCATAATAGTCAGTTCACTGAGTTGCAGAAGACATTTTGAGGCATGTGGAAGCAAGCCTTTAGAAACCAGCTGGTCATGGGGGAAAAAAAATATCTGTCTCATTTTGGCTCTTTGGTCAGTAGATCTGAGGCAGAAATAAATGCATCTAAACACCAGTCAGTCCCCGCTCTACCTTTTTTTCCATTTGTTGTCTGGACTATGGCAACTGTTTCCTTGCTTCTGAGTTTCTGCTGCTGCAAAAAATATTCCTTCCTCCACAGCCTTGGTCATACCCGTCCCTTCGTACTCTTTCCTGAATTCAGAGCAAGGCTCAGGTCCTCTCCTTCAACCTTCTCCAACCTCCCACCTGATCTGTTCCTGTTTGCCCACATGTTAGCAGCTCCAACTGAGGTGTCTTCTGTTCTGCTCTGGAGCTTTCTGTCTTGCCACGTCTCAATTAGTTGCTCCTTCTTTGTGTAACTGTTGGTTAGTTTGGTCGAAATAACCCTCTTGACAAAGTGCTTTCTGCTGGTCTGGGTGCCAGTGTCTCATCAGTCCTGCCGTGGTGTTCCATGTTTTGCTCATCAGGATGTGGGTTTGTATGATCAGTAGAAGCTTGGTGATTATTTTGTCAGGCTGAGGTTGTTGTCACACTGATAATTTGCAAAGTGCTATGTATTTATGAGATGATATGGATAATAGAAGCTATTGCAAGCTTTTGAAGGACAAAGCTGCGTGTGATGCCATGGCTTGTCTGAGTTCATCGAGCAGTTACACAGCCACGTATCCGAGACCACTCTGTGGTCTGTGTCCGTGCTCCTAGCGCTCTCCGGACAAGCTGAGCAGGTTTCCATGAAGAGGGGGGGTCAGTCAAGAGCTTTAAATTCAATGATAGTGCTTACAGGGTCGGAATTTGCTGGTTGTATTTTATTGTTCCCTACAGCTGGTCATCTCTTTCCCTCTGCAGTTTGCACTGAGAGCGTTTTGGGGAATCTGTTTTCGAGGGTTGATGTCCTAATTCTTCTAATGCAGTTTGAAATCTTAAGGATGTGCTGTTCCTTTTCCACAAATGTCTGGTAGACACACACTGAAAATATCTGTGTATCTCCTCTCTTGTTCCTTCTGCACAGATTTATGTTCATGCTGTGTGGTCCAGTGCCCTGCTGACTCTGTAAGCTGCTACCTTGCTCAGTGGTTTACCACTAGATGCATTAGATAAATATGCTTTATGTAATATTTGTGCTTGGGTTGTAGTGATTTTGCCGGCTTCCGGAATCCAAACAAGTGAGACAACAAAAGTGGTTTCCAGAACTCAACTTGCTGCCAGTAAACTTCTGTACTGGCATCCTCATTTGTGTCCTGAGCTACTGAGGTTGGTGGAGAGAGATTGTGTATCGCTCTTGAGCGCCTTCCCTGAAAGCTAGATCTTGAAGTGGCAAATAAAATTTCCAACTTTGATCAGGCCTCTTAATGTGTAGGGTGTGGGAGGGGCACATAATCTCGGGGCTACAAGATCCTTAAAGACCTTTCCTCCAGCAACGATGACTGCCTCTGCCTGCTATGCCATGTTGTTTGGAACTATGGATTTTTTGAAACTCTTAAACTTGAAGTTTCTCTTCTGGCTCCTGATGCAGTTTTTGTTTCCCTCTCGTAGAAGACCACTGCCACTGGGGGAGGTAATCTCTCGTTCCCTCTTGGTCATGGCCTGCTCATCTAGCTGGCTCAGAAATTTCTGGCTGCCCTCCTTTAATTCAGTGTCAGTAACCCCTTCCTGTGATTTTTGTCTCCTCTGACAGTAGCTATTAATGGAAGAACACGGAGTGACCCAAACAGAGCACATGGCCACCATCGAGGCCCACGCAGTGGCCCAGCAGGTGCAGCAGGTCCATGTGGCCACCTACACAGAGCACAGCATGCTGAGTGCGGATGAGGACTCGCCATCTTCGCCAGAGGACACCTCCTACGATGACTCGGACATCCTCAACTCCACGGCTGCTGATGAGGTCACTGCCCACCTGGCAGCAGCAGGTAAAACCAGCGGGATGCTCGGCGTCATTTGCTGAACGTAGGGTTTGTGCAGAGGTCACAACCAGTGCTCGAGGATGCTGGGTGGTCTCGTCATGCCACAGGGTGCTCTGCTAGGGAAGAATCACCTGAGTTGAAAAAGTCCTTGAAGCTCCTCCAGCCCAAGCATGACCCTCCCCCTGACCGTTCCCAACTCCCCCAGATCCCTCAGCGCTGGCTCAGCCCAACTCTTCAACCCCTCCAGGGATCCCGGGGACTCCCCCCTGCCCTGGGCAGCCCATTCCAACGCCCAACAGCCCCTTCTGCACAGAAATCCTTCCTCAGAGCCAGCCTGACCCTGCCCTGGGCAGCTTGAGGCCATTCCCTCGGGGCCTGGCGCTGGCTCCTTGGCTCCAGAGACTCATCCCCCCTCTCTGCCCCCTCCTGGCAGGGAGTTGCAGAGGGCCAGGAGGTCTCCCCTCAGCCTCCTCTGCTCCAGACTGAACCCCCCCAGTTCCCCCAGCTGCTCCCCAGCAGACCTGTGCTCCAGACCCTGCCCCAGCTCCGCTGCCCTTCTCTGGCCACGCTCGAGTCATTCAATGGCCTTTCTGGGGTGAGGGGCCCAAAACTGAACCCACTCAGCGAGGGGCGGCCTCCCCAGTGCCCAGCCCAGGGCTCAGATCCCTTCCCTGTCCCTGCTGGCCACGCCAGTGCTGACACCAGCCAGGATGCCGTTGCCCTCCTTGGCTCCCTGGGCACACTGCTGGCTCATGAATGCTTCCTTAGTGCCCTGGCTTTAATAGCCACTTCTTCGCAAGGTTTTATGTCTGCTTGAATCTTACATCATTTTATCTGTGTCTAATATAAAGGTATTGGGAATAAGAGACTTGTTTGTACAATAAAAATGTTCCCTGGTATGTGCTGCCTCAAAAAATGAAATACTGAATATGTCAAAAACCAAGCTTATTTCAGGGCCATATAAACAACAGCAAAAATAACCCAGGAGTGCTACACAACCCTGCTTAGCCAGGGTGTTCACATGCTAGGCCTCTCTCAAGGAGATGCCACAAAGCTTCCTGGCATACCTGGGCTTGGAAAGTATTTCAGAATCACAAACTCCTTCCGGTGAAGCCCTTGTAAATGCCCTCCAGATGTGCCTTGTAGTGGATCTACCTCACTAGTAGAAAAAAATGCAGTGATAAATAAGCACTCACTTATCAGCCTTTGTCTGAGATATAAAACTCTTGATGTGCTTGACTGGACCTGTGAAGTTCCACCACTTCACTGAGCATCCTGCACCCATTGCTTATTAATTTTCCAGCCTCAGCTCCTGCAGGATTGTTCCTTTCCCCCTTCCCTTCTAGCACAGAAGCTCTTCAGTCCCAGGTGGTGATTGCAGGAGGGGCTTCTGGTGGCTCTCACCTGCCTGCGAGCTCACCCAGTGTCCTTCCAGCCCCTGGCCTGGTGGGCACCCCAAGGCAGGAGCTTCCCCTCTTCCCCAGGGCAGGTGGCTGCAGTTTGTGGCATGGGCTGGCTTCCCTGAGAGCCCAGCGTAGCCCTTCCTCACTTCTCCAGAGCAAATGTTCTTCTAGTCCCCCAAAAGTCAACATCTTTCTTCATTTCTCACAAGCACAGGATTGTTGGAGCAGTATGCAGTGGTGCTTGCTGTGCCCGCCGTGGGTAGTGCTCAGGTAGCTCGTTACTGATTAACAAAACCTAGCTCTGTAGTGGCACCCAGAGCTCTGCCCATTAGTGTCCCCTCTCCCATAGCCAGCTGCCTAGAGAAAACTTATCATCAGATGTTACTTTTGTTATTATCTACCAGCTTCCACTGATCGGTAGCTGAGAACTGTCTGATCCTGTAGCTTCATCAATGTTAAACACAAAAATATAGTGAGTTTTGTGACTCTGATGTGATCTTGCACCTCTGACCTATGGAGAAGCTACACACAGAGCAACTGAGGTTTGCTCAGGAGTCAGAGGGGTCTAATGCAGGCTCAGGAGCTGTTTGACTCTGACCCCACACTCGTTTCTGGAGATCGCTGATGGAAGCGCAATCCGCTGCGTGTTGCTTGGTTTGCTTCTAATTAATGAAACTTTCCCTCATGCAGACTCTGTCTAGAGTTTGATCACAAAAGCAGTAGCACTGCCCTGCCGTGGTCCCTGCTGTTCTTCAGGGGACTGTTGTAGGATGCTGTTGGGAACTCTGGATTTTCAGTTTCTTTCCCATTAGAACTGGTCCTTAATCCCCAAGAAAAGCCTTGGACTCCTGATGCTCTAGGTGAAGGTGTCCGAGCAGAATTCATGACGTGCTTGGTCTCTTCTCCCCTACCACCAGGATCCTCCTCAGTTGTGTCAGTTATTTAAAGTTTTGGCATATTTGAGACTTTTCCAGTACATTTATAAGTATATTTTTATACTTATAAATATACTTGTAAATATAAGCATTTATATTTACAAGTACAAGATAAAATACTTAATTATGTGATTGTAAGGAAAACTCTGAACTGAAATATGTGGCTTTCACCTGGGACTGAGCTGGGACTTGCTAGACTGGGGACTGGAGCCTTTTGATACACCTCTGATGCTGGAGAGGAGGGATCCTGGAGGCTGGGGAGCTCAGTGGGGAGTTTGGGTCACTCCAGTCGGGTGGGGAAGCCCTTGGGACTCATCCCTAGGTGGGGTGGGCAATGGCAGTATCTTTTCTGGCCACTTCCAGAGCTATGTGTGCTGATTCACCCTTTGTGGTTTGATTTCCAGGCCCTGTGGGGATGGCAGCAGCTGCTGCCGTGGCAACGGGTAAAAAACGAAAGCGACCACACGTTTTTGAATCCAACCCGTCCATCCGCAAGAGGCAGCAGACGCGTTTGCTACGGTAAGGACTCCCGCCCGTGCTCCGACACCTCTGTCTGCATCCTCCATCCGTCCCCAGGGCCGAGCGTGGTGAGACCATGTGCTGTCCAGAAGTTGCCCAGCTTGGGAGTTTTTTGTGCATCTTTTCTGGAACTCAAGAGCTGCGTTTTGCTTCGCAGAAATGGGTTAAATTGCAGCTCTACTCATCTTTAATGTGATATTACCATCACAGGGACCGACGTGGCCATTCCAGTGGGATCCACAGTTCTGTTTGTGAGTCAGAGAGGGACCTGGGGGTGTTGATTGCCAGTTGGCTGAACTGGAGCCAGCAGTGTGTCCAGGTGGCCAAGGAGGCCAATGGCATCCTGGCTTGTGTCAGCACTGGCGTGGCCAGCAGGGACAGGGAAGGGATCTGAGCCCTGTGCTGGGCACTGGTGAGGCCGCCCCTCGCTGAGTGGGTTCAGTTTTGGGCCCCTCACCCCAAAAAGGCCATTGAATGACTCGAGCGTGGGCAGAGAAGGGCAACGGAGCTGGGGCAGGGTCTGGAGCACAGGTCTGCTGGGGAGCGGCTGGGGGAACTGGGGGGTTCAGTCTGGAGAAGAGGAGGCTGAGGGGAGACCTCCTGGCCCTCTGCAACTCCCTGCCAGGAGGGGGCAGAGAGGGGGGATGAGTCTCTGGAGCCAAGGAGCCAGCGCCAGGCCCCGAGGGAATGGCCTCAAGCTGCCCAGGGCAGGGTCAGGCTGGCTCTGAGGAAGGATTTCTGTGCAGAAGGGGCTGTTGGGCGTTGGAATGGGCTGCCCAGGGCAGGGGGGGAGTCCCCGGGATCCCTGGAGGGGTTGAAGAGTCGGGCTGAGCCAGCGCTGAGGGATCTGGGGGAGTTGGGAACGGTCAGGGGGAGGGTCATGGTGGGGCTGGAGGAGCTGCAGGGGCTTTTCCAACCCGGATGATTCTGGGATTCTGTTTTAACCGCAGCTAGTCACAAGTTAAATCTCTCATGGTAACACTGCCTTGTGAGATATTCGTGGTGGCTTTAACAGCAGCTGGCCTGAGAATCTGAAGCTACAGCCATATCCCAGTGGCATGAAGGACTTATCTACCCAACAAAAAAAGTCTTTCCTGCATTATAAAATGATCCCATGAATAAATCTAGGTGTGTGTATACCTGAATTTTCTTTGCCAGCAGAGCCTGTTGTGTCAGCTCCGCGCCGAAGACTGACCCAGCCTGTAGTGTGCAGTGTTGGGGGAGAATAATTGAGGGGGAGATGCCAGCCAGAGCTGAAACACTTTCTTTGCTTTAGAAACATTCTTCGTAGACACCAAACTTCCGTAGCCCTTCAGGTGTTGCATTCCAGGTGCTCTGAGGCTGTCTGCCCGCCTGATGGCCACCTAGGAGCGCTGGTACTGAAGTCGCTGTGCAGGCTTTCCACAAGCCCAGAGAGATTGCCTGCAGTTCCATCGCCAGAAAACATTTGTAAATATTGGCTGTTACTATTTACTAGGTTTTGGAAGAAGGCAATTATTGCGTTTTTAAACTGTTTTGGATTTAATTGGGTTATGTCAGAGGAATTGGAGTACTTGTCACTCCGTTTCTCGCTGATGTCCTCCTGCACGAACACTTAATGCGCTGAAGTAGTGATGGCCAGAGTTTTGCCTTTTCTCCCTCTCTCCTCATCTAACTCTTGTAAAGTTGGTGAGAAATTAAGTTGGTTTCCTCATACTGCTTACTCATCTGCTGAGGCCTACATCACCCTTTGTACATGATCAAACTGGAACGAAGTGGAGCAGGGTTAGTGTTAAATAATATTCCCTGGGAGTGCACTCCCTTTCTTTTATAGCTCCATTTTGGTTTTCCCTCCTTTCCCTGACTCAGCCGTGTTTATTGCAACGTTTCAGAAGAGCAAATTATTTTCTGTCTTGAAATATGAACAATATCTTTTAAAAGAAACTCCTCTGTAAAGGAATTATTTCTTCTCCCTTCATACAACTACTTCATTTTACTACCTATAAGATAATGACACAATGCATCATTTTTTTTGCACTCTCATCAGATTAACATGTTTGTGCTTGATTTTTACACCGCTGTGGATCAAGTGGGAAGTTACAACTTCTGATTTGGGGATCTCTGTGAGGCTGATTGTGGTGTTGGTGCTTTTTGGTCACATCTCTGCTGCTAACAGTGGGTCCTGCGATGACCAGGGCAGACACTAAACTGTCACCTTAGGGCAATGCTCAAGTTAGCTGGTGATAACTGCTGCTACTTTTTTGCTTTATCAGTTTCTGTCAACATTTCTGACATGTTGCTTAAAAACGAACAAGAGGCAGAAAGTATATGATGGAGCATTTTCTTCCTGCAGAGAGATCATTCCAAAGGGACTTGCTGATGTGGCAGCTGTCTGGAATACCTGGGTTTCCTGTGCTGAGCTGTTGCAGTGTTTCTGGTTCTTGCCTGTCCTGTAGCTGTAGGTTGAATTCTTACAGTTCTGGTTTGAGGAGGACTTTGGTACTAGAGAATTGCAATGCACTGCTATGAGGCTGGATGTAAAATAACCTCTGTTTGCAGTCCTCTTTTATTGAATCATTCAAGTTCTTTACCTTCAAGTTTTGTATTATTAATAGACTTAGACGGTGACAGAGCGGATATGCAGACTCTTGCTGTCCTAGCTTTGCTGCTCTGGTGATTTCTCTGCTTTTTACATCAATGGAAAAAGGCAAGAAGGGAAAATAATTGATATTTGAGCTGCTGGGTGACTGCAGGGAGCGCAGCAGGCCTGCGGGAGTGGAGGAAGAAGCGGTTTATGTGGCTAATCTGACCAGCTGGGGCTCTGTTTCTTACCTGGTTTGTGAATGGATAGCATTAAGAAAGAGAGTTTAGAATGCAGAGGGTTGTGTTTCTACAGGGCTTTCAATGACAACCTATTCACTGTTCTGTGCCTCCGTTCCAGGAAGCTCCGAGCCACGCTGGATGAGTACACCACCCGCGTGGGGCAGCAGGCCATCGTTCTGTGCATCTCACCCTCCAAACCCAATCCTGTCTTTAAAGTATTCGGTGCTGCACCCTTGGAGAACGTGGTAGGTGTCTCTAGAAAAAGCTGTGTGATAAATTGCTCGCCTCTGCAGATCTCATTCTGTTCAAGGCAGCCTCGCAAGCCTGGCAGTGATCTGAAGGTCGTGTTTAAAACCCTGGAAACAGGAGTTCAGGCTGTGTGGACACAAGGGTAGCACTGAGGTCTTGTCTTCACTGCATGAATGGTTGCCTAAGACATCTCACCAGGGTTAAATATCCTGGATTAAAAATAAGAGGGAGCAGGTAGAGATGATATATTTGAACTCGGCTCAACTGTCAGTGCTTGCACCTTGTTGCAGACCAGATGGTAAATGAAGCAGATCCTGACCATGATAAGTCTTGCTTCAGAACTTTTCTTTTAATCCAGTAAATACTGCCACTTGCCAGTGTTACTTGATATTTCATCATCAGCTCTTCGATGCAGTCACGTCTTTTGGGCCAGTGGGTATTTTTTCTTGCCAGCTGTGGTGGTGTTTGCTCCTGCTGTTCTGCAGCACCTTGGGGAAGGTGGCTGGCCCTGCATCCTTGCCCTCTCCTCTCCTGGTGCTCCTTACCTTGTTTACCTGAGCTTAATGATTCCCCACAGGTACGCAAGTACAAGAGCATGATTCTGGAAGACCTGGAGTCGGCACTAGCAGAGCACGCTCCTGCGCCTCAGGAGGTTAACTCAGAGTTACCGCCCCTCACCATCGATGGCATTCCCGTCTCGGTGGACAAGATGACCCAGGTAAGCAGCCAGACGTGGCAGAACCACAGAGAGATTTGGCATCTTGCAGTCACGTTCTGTTATTTTGCAGTGGAGCTTATGCCTGAATCTCCAGGGGACGCATTTGATCTCCTCTTTCCCGTGGGACTGTAACAGCTCAGATAGTTGTTAGATGTGAAGCTTTGTTATTGGTGCTTATTTTCTACGTGAAACAGTAGAAATGCTGGTAAGAACTAGAGCTCGGGGTGCTGGGAGCGTGCCTCTTTGAGCTGTTTTTGTCACCTTCCATAAACTATGAACAGGGAAGATATTTATTCTGCACTCGGCAGTAATTTTTAGGCACTGAGGCCAGGAAGGTCACTTGTGGAGTACCATTGTGATTTAGGCTCCTTGGACCTTCCTTGTGTGATGTACTTTGTTCCCTCCTCTGTTTTCTGTCGTGGATTGGAGCAGAGGGGAGTTTGCCAATGGTTTCACTTCAGGTCAGACCCTGAGGGAGATACTTCTGATGGAGACAGGGAGTCATCTGCCCTTGGCATGTTGGGGACTCCCTTTGCTGGCCTCCTTATTGCTAGGAGAAAGTGGAGGGGACCCTCCAGAGAAGCTTCTTTGATGTGGGAGGAATTGTCTGGAGGGAAATCTCCTTCCCCTGGGGTGCAGGACCTGAATGCAGGCAAATGTGTTTTGCAGGAGGCTCTGGATACACTGTGTGATGCATCACAACAAATTTTAGATGTTGAAAGCCGGTTTCTTCTGAGGGAGTAGCCAAATGGAAAGGTTGGAGGCTTTGGGCAACATACAGAGAGGTGTTGTAGTAGAGCAAAGATGTGGGGATTTCCTCTGTGCTCTGCAGCAAGATCACGTTCTGGTCAAAACACTATTTTCATTACTTAGGTGGAATGAGACAAGCTCACGCTTCTAATAAAATTTTACAAAGAAATCTACTGTGCCTTGGCTGATAACAGATCACGTTCGTAATCCGTGACAGCGTAAGACAAAACTTAGTTGCTAGATTTTTTTTTTTTTAAGCCACTGGGAAAGGTGGTATCTGCAAGAGCTGTCCACAGGCAGGTTTTGTTTTGTGTCATTAACAGTTTCCCATGGAAATGGCAAAGTAAGAAATGGAAACATTTTATTTTAAAAGTAAAATGAGAGACCGCCAAAAGATCACAGGTATGTAGCTCTGAGTTCATCTGTATTGGCAAACAAAATGCTTGTGTTTATCTGACTTTACGGCCTCATCACTGTAGTAATTAAGCTGAATAACAGCAAGAGAAGTGCCATGGGCTTACAACAAGGAGAAGGAGATGCCTGTTTGCTCTGGTAGAGGGAGGCCGTCCTAGCGTGGGGCGAGTAGTGAAGCTGGAGTTGCCCGTACCCCCAGCACGTGGGTCTGAGGAAGGGGCAAAGACAATGAGCTGCTGCTGGTGGGGTGCTGGGCGGAAACAAGAGAGAAGGGAGTGTGGGTGAGTGAGATCAGGAGGGGAGGTTGTTGCAATCCGGTAACACATATGAAAACCTTCCCCGGTTTGCAGTGCGCAGGATATGTGCGCATATAAAAGGGCCAATAAAAAGATCTATCAACTGTTTGGCTGTTAATGTTGCACGTGTTGTCCAAACAGCAGTAAAAGTGACAAGCTCTCACTTCAGCAAAGGCCTCGGCTGGATTTATAACGCATATTGTTTATTTTTTGTGATAGAGCTGGAAATTAAATATTTTAACATCAAAGGCTGCTTGAGTGTTTTCTGCTTCTATTTTATGGATAAAATACTAATATCCATAGAAATCTGTGGATAAATAGCAATACTTTTCATGTGAAGCTAAAAATAAGGTTGGCGCTTTTTTTTTCCAAACACGATGTGGCCTTGGTCTTCAGGAAACCTCGCACAAAGATTTGGCCGAGCCCAGTTGCCCCTGGGGTTTGATTGCTCTGCATTTCCACGTGTGAAGCAGCTCTCCAGTCCGAGGCACTAGCTGCTGGCGGGGCTTTTTTTTTTCACCCCATGTGCAACGCTCCTGCGTTCCCAGGCTTTTTGTGGCTCTGTTAAATGAGAAATGGTTTTTCTTCTCCGTGTTCTGTGGGGCCTTCGCTCAGCAAGTGTGCAAACTGCTGATGCAACAGCGTAGCAACGTAGAACTTCTTATTTCAAGTCCTCTTGGGCTGCATTATGGTAAAATGAGTATCTTGCTAGGACTAGCCCTCGTCTTTTTAGTACAATGTGGTAACTCAAAATAGCTTTGTGAAGTTTTCTCCTGAGCTGTGGATGGAGTCCATGCTCTTTGTGGCCATTGCTGTCCTGGTTAGCCCAGCTGCTGTGGTGTGCCTGCGTGTTGTGGGCACCCAGTGCTGTGCTGCCTCAGTTTCCCCATGTATTCTACAGCAATGATGTTTTGTAAAGGTCTTTAAAAACTTTTTTGAGATCCTTGAATGGCTGGAGGCCACTTGAGGACAGAGCACTAGAATTAGTGGACAGGACTGCAGACTCCTGGGTGGATTTTCACAACCCAGAAGGGCTTTCTTTTTGCAAAATTTTCAAGGAGTAAGATGTTGCGTGTGGGTGCTTGGGAGATGATTTTTATTGCTGAAGGCATCCAGCTACTATATAGTTTTTGCCAAACTTGTGGGCAAACTTTAAATAGAAACAAAACATGGGTATACTGAATGCAGAATCACAGAATCCTCAAGGTTGGAAAAGACCTCGAAGATCATCTCGTCCATCCAACAGTGGGGCCACCATGCTGTCTTTTCTTCTTTTACCACAACAGCAATTTGAAATACATTGGTTTGAGAGAGTGGATGATAACTCTGATTCCTACATTGCTGCAACCAGTTGCACTGCTAGAGGTGCCATTGGGGTTTTTTTGTAGGAACCTTGATTCCCGGAGCTGCCGGTGTAGTTCTTTGTATTTGCTAACAAGAAATGAGATTTTTTTCAACTATGTTGCACAAAGCCCTATGGGAAACTGAAATATTTATAAAAATAAATTGGGCAGGGCAATTAAGAGGTGTGTCACAGGGAGTGGAAAAAGGAGGCCTCTGCTTTCAGCAGCTGCAGGTGTCAGTGGGCAGGTGGTAGAGGCATTAGCTCCTCAACGAGGAGATGAAAATAACTCTCCTTTTAATTGCTCTGCTTCCCTGGTGCTCTTGAGGGAAATAAAGCCTTTACTAGCCTGAGCAAAGATGCTTCTATAAACTTGCGGATGGAGAGCATCACCCACCTCGGCTGTGCAGAAGAAAAATGTCTTGCAGTGGGGCTTTTACCCCACAGCCATTACAGAGAGAAATCTCGATGTTTTATGGACTTTGACTACGTTGACACTAGACGTCAAGAGTTGAGTTCGCCTCTAAACTTGTTCTCAGTTGCTCGCTGATATGATTAAGGAGTGAGATTGGGTAATGCTGAGGTCGATGCTTCAGTCAGCTCTCACTGAGGTCACTAGAATTTGTTTATGTTTTTCTGAACAGTGATTTTTCCTTTAATCTGAATTTTTTTAAACTTCATATGCCCCTGTGATTTGCAGTCTGCTTATACAAGCCAACAAAGTCTATCTGGGCCTCTCAAAAACCACCCTGATGTCTGTTTGCCTACTGCCCTGCAAACAGCTTTAGCACAACCAGCAGATATCTTTCTGTACGTGGCCGTTTGTACGTAGGAGAAGCCAAGCAACCAAAGATGGCAACTAAACTCAGTTTGTGGCTGTCGGATCCTCTCCGCAGAGGAGCAGGGATGATCTTGCAGTGCTTGGACCCCGTCACCTGGTGCGAGGTTTGCTGGTGTTCCCTTCTGGTCCACGTCAGAGGTGTGGTACGGGGACAGCCTGAATTTCTGCTCTCCCAGCATGTTGTTGGAGCATCCTTGTTTTGCAGTGGGGGCTCACCAGAGGTGGGAATCGGGTTCCCTGTGCAGCTGAGCTCCAGTCCTGGACGGTTGTTCCAGCAGCGGGAAGGGTGGCGAGTCCTGCCAGGTACTGGATGCAGGGGTGGGTGTATACTTTGAACTGTCACGCAGGCAGCTGCCTGCTTTTACAGAATTTAAGCTCAGAGCTTGCCCCGTGCCTCATTTCCAGCAAGAACGAGCAGTCGGGCCCAGCGCTCAGATCTCCAAACTCTACTCAGAGGTGGTGATCCCGAGAGGGACAGCCTGGTCCCCTGGTGTGCCCCTCCGAAACCTTAAAACTCCTCCCTCACTCATCCTTTGATTTGAGCATGGTTTCAGGGTGGAAGAGAAGAAAGATTTGCATATAGAGTAAATCCAGCCTACGGGGAGACCTACAGCACCTCCTGCTTTTCACACTGATGACCAGGTGGTTAATTTTGGGTCGGATTCCTGTGGCCGGGCATGAACTAATGCATCTGCTGAGTGCTGTTACTTTTTGCTGAGGACATCCAGGCTGACCTCGTGCCTCGTCTTTGCCATGATGAATTTATGACAGCGGCAACCCCGCTTTCATCCTGCTTGCCAGAAAGAACCTGGCAGTGAGACCTCACAGAGTTCAGTCAGGGCCATGTGGGTTTTCATAGCAGGAAATTTGTGGTGACAGCTTGCTTGCTGCCTTGACAGATACCTGGCTTTTTAATCTGAATGTTTCAACATTAATTTTAGACTTAACATTTCATCTAAAATTGGCTGTTGCAAGAAAAAGGGCCAGTGAGCAAAATACCTGGGTGCTTTGCTGCAATTGCTGCTTTGCCCACTTCCACACTGGGGAGCAGCCAAGGTCCGTGCTACTTTTTGGAGATCTTGAGGCTGAGCTGTGGGGACAAGTAGAAAATTCCCAGCATGGGTTTTGTTCCCTTCTAGAAACCACTTTCCTTAGCAGGGCATAAACATTAAGCATTGCTGGGGGCTCCACACGCAGGACAGCTTGTTCCCAGCACTGGAGGGCAGTTGTCTGCGCTTTGGGCTGAGGCAAATGGTGGAATCAGGATTAGCTCACTCCCGCTAAGACTTGAGCTCAATGTTAAAACTTAAGATGCTCAGTCTGTCTACTAAAGGCTGTCAAAGAAATATTTCTTATAGTTTGTCTCAAACCCTCCATACTAGAGATTTTTTTTTTTTTTTTTTTTCCCCCCCCCTTTTTTTTTTTAAAAAAAAAGATTGGATTTTCAGCTGGTTTGTGGATGGATGGAGTCAGCAGAACCGTGGCTCCCACAGATGAAGCGGTTGCACCGGTTCCTCCCAGCTGTGCCCTGGGAGATGTGGGGTCTTTGTCTTGGTGCTGTAGCCTGTGTCAGAGCCCTGTGAGCTGCCCGGGTGAGGGCTCGTTATGGCACTAATTAGAGAAGTCCTTGCACTGGAGCAGGTTGTAACACTGCTGCTGATTGTGTCTCTGGTGGATTAAAGGCAAACCCTCCTTAACAAGTGCTTTGAGTAGCTTGAGCTGCTGAACTCCCTAGGACCAGTAATTAATCCATCTGGTAACAAGGAGCATGGCTTGCAGATAATGATTCTGGGAAGGAGCTTTTAACTGGTTTTGCATCAGGCAACTCAATGCCGTTAGCAGGTTTATTTAGATAAATGAGACCTCGACCAGGGACCCTGAAGCATGTTGGGGTGACTGTTGGCCCTGCAATGGAAGGTGCCTCATGGACAGGCTTGTCCTGGCCGGGGAGAAAGGGCAGCACAGTAGGGTTTTTTGTGCCTCCGTTTGTAATTCAGAGCTTCTCTGAGGTGGCTCAGGATGTCCATGGAGTGGGGGAGCTGAAATGCAGCTGCTTCTCTAAGCAGGGATCGTTCTTGTAGGGCGTGCAGCAGATACACTATATATGGACCCACGTTATACTGGATTTGTATTGCCTTTAAAGTCCATAGCCACTGCTGCAAGCTGTCTGCAATGTAGTAAATCGTGCATACAAAGAAATTATTTCCCTTTTACCAAAACGCACTTCAGTTTTTCTGTTTAACTGTGTAAGCTACGGCCCACATTACATCTTCCAGTTGGGCTCTGGCTTTGAAGAGCAGTCCTGTGTCCAAAAGAGCTGCTGCAGATCCTGGTGCATAGGGGCTTTAGGCTTTTTTGCAGAGATCACGGGGACAGTCTGCAGTCTCCTGTTCCTCTAAAGAATTCCTCCCTTCCTCTGGCAGACCGATGTTATGGGGGACTTGAGTGCACACTCCCTGTGCCAACGTGGAAAAGGCAGTTTGTAAATGAGTTATTTGCAGCTTGGAGTTATTTTCAGACTGGAACCAGGATGTCATTCGAGCAGGATCGTCGTGGCTGAGAGGAATGGACACTCCCATGGCAGAAGATCCTCTGTCCCCTGCCAGCTGGGACCACATGGTGGCCGTGGCAGCAACCGATGCTGGCCCTGGCGTGCTCGTCACGGCTGTGCCCCAGAGCCCTCCACATCCAGGCGTCTTGGGGCTCTAAGGTGGCCCGAGGACTCCCAGTGGCACTGTCAGAGGCTCAAATAACTTGCTATTAAAGCTATGAAGAGATGCAGGGAGGTGTTCTTAAAATGAAGCTGTTTATTTTTAAGTTAACATGGGTTTCCTCTGATGTATGTGGTCATGAGCTTGCTTTCTCTTCCCGCTCTGTTTCTGCAGCTGAACCAGCCTTTTCTGGAGGCTCCAGACAGTCCCCAGCACAAAAACCAAATGTGTCATAAAACCCCGAGTGTTGTATTCTCGGTCACATATCTGTCTTGGTCGATGTGTTGGGGACTGTATCTGCTCGATTTGCTTTGCAAGTCTGTCTTTAAGGGATTGTCTCCTGATGGTAAAGGCAGTCACTAGCTGACCAGGTTTTTTGTGGCTGCTAAGGAGAAGTAAAATCAGGTTGAAAGATGTCCCTACTCTTATAAAAGCTAAAAATAGATTCAGAAAATTAGTCCAGTGTGTGTTACGTTCTGCAGGGGTGGAGAAGTGTATGTGTGAGATTGTGTTCTTGAGCAGCTCACTGAAGCTCCATCCTCTTTGCAGCATCTCCAACACATACATCAGTTCACATCTGAGTTCCTGTCCCTGTGGGGACATTGAGTGTGTTTTTTTTCTGTATTACTCTGATTTTTTTAAAACCATTTTTTTTCTTCCTGTCAGGTTGGCTAGCTCCCTTGGTGGTAGTGTTTGACCATGAAGTATGTTAATACAGTGTGTGTTTGTGCCTTATTGTTGTAACTGGCTGTAACTTAATTTTGTCTCTGCTCTTCCACATGCTACTAAGCTGAGTCCTGGGAGAAGATAAGTAAAGTATTTGTCCATCTTCCTTAGACATTCAGGCCTCCTCCAGTTGATGGTTCCAACAACCATGGAAGTTAAATGTAATAACTTAGTACCATGCACCTCAAAACTACCAGAGATTAGGAGTTCCTAAAAAGCTCTCAACCCTCTGATGTGGTTTGTTCCAGGCACAGCTGCGAGCTTTCATCCCTGAGATGCTGAAATATTCCACGGGTCGTGGGAAACCAGGCTGGGGCAAGGAAAGCTGCAAGCCCATCTGGTGGCCTGAGGACATTCCGTGGGCCAACGTCCGCAGTGATGTCCGCACAGAGGAACAGAAGCAGCGGGTGTGTATCTCCCATGTCTGTCTGTCTGAGACAAGTCTATACTCCAAGCACACAGGTCATTTACTGTGATCAAGGGTGTGCAGTGGAGCCAGGGAAAAACGAGAACTGGATGTAATAGCGTGACCAGCAGGAGCAGGGAGGTGACAGTCCCTCTGTGCTCTGCACTGGTGAGGCCACACCTGGAGGGTTGTGTCCAGGTCTGGGCACCTCAATCCCAGAGAGATCTAGAGGGGCTGGAGCGAGGGCAGAGGAGGGCAACGAGGCTGGGGAAGGGCTGGAGAATCAATCCTGTGAGGAGCCAGGGAAGGAGCTGGGAGTGTTGAGGGTGAGGAGGAGGAGGCTGAGGGGAGCCCTCATCCCTCTCTGCAGCTCCTGACAGGACATTGCAGAGAGGCTGGGGCTGGGCTCTGCTCCCAGGGGATCAGGGACAGGACAAGAGGGAACGGCTGGAAACTGCCCCAGGGGAGGGTCAGGCTGGGCAGGAGGAGAAAATGTTTCCCAGCAAGAGTGGTGCGAGAGTGGAACAGGCTGCCCAGGGAGGGGGGAGTCCCCATCCCTGGGGGG